TATATATATATATATATATATATATATATAATGCCCGAGGCAAGTATAACGCCCAACAGGCGTGTCCTAGGTACCTCGGAATCTTTCTCCAGCACTTCAGCATCCTGCTCATTTTCAGACAGTCCCTCTCCTTCTCCGCCGGGTTGCTGCTTTCGTTTCTTCCCCTTGCCTGTCTTGGCATTCGCGGTACTTCCTGTTGGGCTGTCTTCCAACGAATCGCCTCCGCTTGGCTTCGACAAGTCTATAGTGAGAGGAACAAAGCAAGCAGGGCAGCCTAATGCCGCTGCAACGGCTGGAAGTTGGTGCTGATCTCCTTCAGTGGCGGCCGGAGCCGACTCCATGTACTCTTGAACACAGAGGCGGTGGAATGCATGCCCACACTTGGCTTGGGCCATATCCTGGTCGCACAAAAAAGCAAACGTACGCCACATCCATGCAGTGTGCGCTTTCGTAGGCGCACAAGAGCTTCACACGGAGAGGACCACCTAGAGGCGAGAAATCACAGTTAGTAAGAAAGAGAAAGACACGTCCTTTTGGTTTAAGTCCTGCCTTGCAAAGGTGAAGATGTGAAGGGCTGATGACATGGTTACAAGCAGCAAGGCAGGGTGCTGCGGCATGGGACAGCAAGGAAGCAGATGCATCACAATCTAGCCACAGCCCCACAGTGCACATCACAGCATGCAACAACCGCTTTTGCAAGTCCTGCAACCACTGCAGCAGCAACATCCTCATACTATTGCATCCATGTCTTCCTGGCAAATGGCGCAGACGCCAGTTTGCTGTGCATTGCGTGAGTCGGTAGGTAGTGGCGAACAACCCTCCTTCGACTGAAGAGACCCGTGAATGAGGAGATAAGGGTGGTCCACTGCTTGGCGAAGCCGCGACAACAAGTCAAAGATGTGCGCGAAGTTGTGGAGAACTGTTCCACTTTTCACATACGAGTCCTGCGGCAAGCCAAAGAGAGACAGAGAAGATGGCTGACAATGCTAGTAGATAGACAGACGATTCCAGTCGTCAAAACAAAACAAAAGCAGAGAACGTGCCCCTAAATGTCATATCCAAAGCCAAACTCCACGGAAGCGTGGTTCTCCTTCGGGAGTGGCATGCAGACAGAGGATGCAACGACGGCTATGAACATCAGCACCACAATTCTGGACAGCCAGTAAACCTAGGTGGAGCAGAAACTATGAGGGATAGATGCATACGAATTGAGTGGCCGTTTGCTTGAAAAGGGACTCGTAGAAATCCCTTTCTTGTGGGCTCAAAGCGTCTCTTCTTATGGACACGACAAGAGGAGGCAGCTTAACGTCAGCTGCTCTCTCTACCTTTGTACGCCGGAGCAAACAAACATCCAGCACCTATAGAAAGAAAACGCAGGTACAGTGCGACCATCCTCTGCATTGTTGTTCGACACAGGTGCAACTGATGTATGCAGCTGGTGAGCGAGAAAAAGTTGGCAACAGCCTTACTAAGGAGAACCTACCTCCCTCTTCAAGGTCTCAAGGGCCACGATTCCCTCCCCTTGATAGCCAAACTCTTTAATTGGCTTGACAACGCGGCGGCAAAAGAATGAATAGTGTGTCATCCGCGTATGAGAACACTTGTCACAGTACCTGTCAGCGGCAATCGTAGAGGCACACACCGGGAAAGCAAGTCATTAAATTCTATTGGCGCCACTGGCCATCCCTCCGTTCGCCAATATCCCCTCGCTCCCCCGCCTGACCTTTTGGTATCCTCTGTGTGCATGTGTAAAAACACTACAAAGGATGTATTGGCAGCAGCTCACGCAGCTGCTGTCTAGCCCTGCGCTGACTCACTTCCCATCAGCAAAACGGTAGTGCATTGATCTGCAGCTGCAGCCCTTCTTTGAGCAGAAGTAATATGCATACGGGTAAAACCGCAAGAAACGTATGAGGCTGTACAGTTCCCCAATTCGGTTTTGAAGGGGAGTGCCTGTCAGGCACCACCTACAGCCTCCCACAACAATCGAAAAATCCGGTTCTGTTCCACAGCGGGAAGTAACAACACGCGCCACCTCGTTGCCGCTGTCTCCAGGGCCCCTACTGGAGCTGCCGTGACGCGTCCTTTCCATGCTTTCGGAGGAGCCAGCGACCTTGGCTGACCCTCCCTGCTGCTCGGTTTCCGCATCCTCATCCTGTTTTTCTTCCTGAGCCCGCCGTTGTTGTTGCTTATCCTGCGGTTGCAGCTGCCGTTTCTTACCGCAGTGGCTTCTGACCTTGCGACTCCTGTGATCAGCTGTTCCCTGCCCATCATCGCCTGCAATAACAACCGGCTGGATCGCATCGCTGTCACAAGAGTCCTTTGCATCTTCCACGTCTACCTGCTTCTCCAGCACCTGTTTCTGCCGTTGCTCTTTCTTCCCGTGACATCCTGGAACCTTAATAGTGGCGCTGCGCAGAGCAAATATTGCTTGAGCTGTGCTGCTGTTCCTCGATTTGATCCTGTGGGCTTCGTCCAGCACAATTCTCTGCCACACAACCCCATGAAGAGGAGACTGTCGAAGGGCCTCTACCAAGTTAGGGTCCTCCTCCAGTCTCTCTTTTACCTGCCCACCCTCCTCTTCGTTTTCGGATTCTGTGTCGCCTAAGGCCTTGCCCCACAGCAACTCGTCTACTGGGGTGAGGGGTATCCTCTTGGGTGGTTCTTTGCTATTGCTGCTGTCAGCATTTCGGCTCGTCCGGGCACGTCGTTTCGTGCTATCAGAAGAGAGGACGGATATAACTGATGAAACATCGGAGTCTGCATCATCGGGCCCCCCATCTGACGTTGTCGCAACGAATGACTCTGAGGAATCATTTTCTGACGATGAAGAATCAGATGGCTCATATTCTGTGCTGCTACTTTCCCACTCGCTTGCGCTGCTGTCGGGTCTTCGGGATGCTGGCCGCCGGCGCCCTGAGCGCTTCTCCGACGCCTTCTTGACTGGCTTTTTGGGTTTGATGCAGTTTTGGCCAACTTTCCTACTGCCCTTCTTGCCGCTGTACTTGCGGTTTTTCCGCACTTCTGCAGTCTTGTCTTTACTCTCTTCGGTGGGCTTCTTCTTTTTGGATACAGAAAGAGGTCTGCCGTCCTCTGACGAGTCCGCTTCGCATCGTTGCTCTTGCGGCTTTACTGGTTTGACGTATTTAAAGGCTGGCTTATTCTTCCTGCTGTTGCTACTACTATTAGTGCTGCCTGCTGACTCTTTTGTCGAGTGATGGGCTCGTCCGTCGCCACTAAACTCCTCTAATTCATGCTTGACGGATGCACCCGCCCCCTGGCGCTCGCGTGTTACTGGCTGCACATCTTGTGCCTTGGTACCGAGTGCATGTGTTTCGCCGTTTCCGGTGCTGCTGCCACTCTTTGGTGAGCGTCTAGTATGCTCCACATCTTTCTCACCATCGCTGGGCGCTTCCAACTGCGAACCGTTCCTGCATTTTACATTTCTCCCAGCTTGGGGTCTGCTTCGGCACTCCTTCGGTGCAGCCCCCTGCTGCGGCTGCAGTTCACCATCTCCTTGGTCCCCTTCACTGGATTCATGTGGCTTCCTCGAGCTACTCTTGTGGGTACTTGTCCCCTCTGAATCGTTCCCTCGGGTATCTGCTGCCGCCTCTCTCAACAAGCTTCTCTGAAGCAGTGGTTCCAGCTGTTCCAGCAACTGGGCCTTCGTCGACCGGGCTACTATGGTCCCCCCAAGGGCCTTAATGAGTTCTCTCAGCTCTGCTACTTTCAAGCGACTGACTTCAGCCATGGTTAGCTCACCATTCTCCCCTGTTTCTTCGTCGTCATTGTTGCCCTTTGCCTCGCTACTGGCGCTGCTGCTGCTCTCTGAGGCTGTCTTTTGTCTCTTGTATCCAGGGGACTCCGCTGCTTCTGCAGCAGCTTTCGCGCTGCGGTAGGCGTGGGGCCCTAACCATGGCAGAGGCCCCACTTCATCGGGGTTGATGTTTGCCTGCTCAAGCAACTCCTTTAAACAGTTGCCTGGCGTCGGTACGAAAGATACAGGCCCTGTTCGTTCTTCTGTTGCTGCATCCTTCCTCTTTTTGCTGCTCCGTTTCTTCGTTGCAGAAGCAGCCACTGCAACTGCGCCCACATTTTCCTTGTCGTCTGCGTTGATGATGTTTAGCGAAACCATCGCTCGCTTTGTACCTTCATCCACTTTGCGTTCGGTCAGCCTCTGCTTGGCGGTGCGCTGGGCATCGGGCCCACAGAAGTATTTCTGGTGAATGAATAGCTTGTCCCGCATAAAAAGCCTCCCACAGTACTGCAAGCAACAAAACGGAAAACGGGGGCGTCAAAAAAGGACTGTCCTGTGCAAACCAAATGCTACTCACAGCTTGCATGGAAATGCGGAACTATCAAATACGCATAGGGATACTGCGTCCGCACTGAAACATTCCTACACCTGGACGCATACGGTATAGTACCGGGGAAAGACTTCACTACAGATAATTCCCACTAGGGATGTCCTCCACGCGATGATGACATTTGCAGGTACAAACGGATGTATGTGCAGGTACAGGAAGCAACGAAGAAACGATAAGATGTGCATAACAACTCGTATTAGTATGTGTATGTATACATGCATATGTCCAAAGCTGGATTCAGGTGGCTGGTGCACGCCGTGTTCAAGTCTGCCAAGGGCCGTGCCAAATGAGTAAAGGTACCTTGCACGAAACCTTGTGTTTGTTTATTTGCTTGCGGAAATCCTGTTCAACAGTTTGATACGTTGTCAAAACGACGTCGTACTGATGAAGGACCGAATGGAGGGCCCGTCTCTGGGACCCGTGGTATATGAGCACCGAAAGTCGGCCAGGAACCACAAACCTATCAAGTTCACTCTTCCACTGCAGCAGTGCAGCTAGGGGAGTGACTATCAATGTGGAGCACACACAGGCTCTCATCAAAGAGGGCACGGAGTCAGGGAGTGAGGGAAGCGGACGGCACAGTAGCAGAGATATGATTTGGATTGTCTTCCCCATTCCTTCGAGACAACAAGCACGCACGCAAATGCAAACACAGATATTGAATTACTTCATTCAGACAGGACAGGTGCATAAAAATTGGAGGCATTCAACCCCATAAATAGGATAAACACCACAATACCTGCTGAGAGGTCACGAATGTCAGAGTACTTAGGCATTACATCACTTCTGGCTTTCCACAAATAAAGCGCAGCTATCCGCCAGATGACGCATATCTATACACTCGTTCTTGAGAAATTGCTGCCACTCCTATACTCCCACGGAAGGCACTGCAGTCTAGATTGCGTGGAGAAGCCCCGCGACCAGTTTTGCACTTACGATGCTGGTCGTGACTGCAAAACTGATCGCAGGGCCAGTCTACTATGGATGACGGGGAAGGCGGGGAACGCGTGGGGCTAGGAATGCAACGTGAAGAAATAAATATATTGGGTCAAGTTGAGCATCCGCAAGCGAAAAAGGAGCTTAAAACAGGGCGACAGCTTTCGCTTTAAAGCAAGAAAATCGCCAAAACAGAAGACGTGTCCCGTATCTCTCCTCACCCATCTCATCAGCTAATATGCCTCCTTTGATGTGAGAAGCCTCTTGTTGCGCCAGCCACCACAGGCCCTCTTCCTGGAAAGGTAGAAGCGGCAACAGTAGCCCATTGGGAGATGCTACACGCCCCTTGATAACCCTCCTGGTGAGCCCTTCCAGCACTTCTTCGGCCCTTTCTGCAGTAGCTACAGTCTCCTTTTGCACTTCATCCGGGAAAAACAACCAAAGCGCCGCTTCAGCTAGGGCCTCCTGGACTTCCCGCTGTTCCACTTGTGACAGACTGTCGGCCATCAAGCACAAACGGTCGAGGGAAACGATACATCCAGCTCTGTCTAACAACAGACGGTCCCGCGCAGGTAACTCATCATCTCCCTTTTTGTCCTTTTGCGCGCAGTCCGATCCACCGCCGCCAACTAGACTTCCGGAGTCGTTAGACCCCTCATGTAGCGTGGAAGAGGCAGAGGCCACGGAAGCGTTGCTACTTTTACATGCCGTAGAAGGTGCAAACGCTGGGGCCTTTTTGCTACTGCCAGTTTCCTCTCGTTGTTCTGCCTTTGCTACGGCCGTATCTCTACCGGTAACCCGTGTCCTCCGTACTGGCTGTTCGTTCTTCAGAGATGTGAACTCTTCCCTAGGAGTGTTGTGTGCACCTGCGGCTTTCGTCTCAGTCTTTGGTGGGTCCACAGGTTTTGCAGCTACGGCTTCTAGACAGGAAATAGAAGTAATGAGATCCTCTCGTAGTCGTTCAATGAGATCTCCTTCTGCCTGTTCGTTCAGAATGAGGGTGAACAGCTCTCTGCTACAGCCCAGATGCAACCAGCAGCAGAGCACCTCATACGCTCCCCTGGGGTCTGAGGTGGGATAGCCCACGCGGAGTGTTCCCTTAGCAATGGAGCCGCCACACTTACGACACTTGCTCTGGCCTGAGGAACAGAGGTACAAAACAAATGATAAAGGGAAGAAACACAAAGGAGCGAAACCGATAGGTGAGGAAATAAGAAAGATAATTGTGGTGATGAATCTCAAAAAATGACGGACTGATCCCGACACGAGACATGGATAAGTTTGAAAGCCATAGAGAGATAAGGTGGCGGTAGGAAAAACTACGGAAAAAGCCCCGCATGGAGAGACAACGATCACGAAAAGAAGCAAGGCCCCACAGTGCACCACATCACTAAGGGGAAGGGTTCAGAAGGGGCGCGCGGTGGCAGGAGGAAAATTGGCTGTATGGGGCTGAGGCAGATAAGCCAATGGTTGGGAAGCACTTACCGGAGGCAGCCTTTTGGACCATGGCTTTTGCGCCCTGTAACTGCTGCCTCTCCCCCGGTTTGAGCTTCTTCAAGAGTCGTTCTGGGACCCACTGTCGCTCCTTCGGCCAGTAGAAGCATTCCTCCGTTGAGGGTGTGGGTAAGGAGGTTTTAGTTGTGACAATGTCGGAAAGTTCGTTGGGGATCATCCACGCCATGATGCCGACGAAGACGTTGTATCGGAAGGGAGAGAAAACACACTGTGACTGTGAAAAAGGGCTCGCCCTACTAAAGCATCACAGCACCAGAAGCGCAAGCCAATGACGGGCCTCTGCAACTCCTTCAAAGGACAAACACGCCAATGGACGAGCAAGTAGAATATTGGAAGATCTGTGTGACCACGAGAGATACTTGCGCCCCAAGCAAGCACTTGATTCAACCTCAGAGGATCTGGAGTGCTGATATCCAAATAAAGACATCAGAAACCGCAAAACAATTTGACTTCTAAACAAAAAACAGTCCTTCGTTGTAACTCGAAACGCCAAGTGGTAGGGTGCTCTAGTGGAGTGGCACCCTACTGCCCCATAAGCAATAGTGGGGGTGTAGGACTTGTTACAGAAATCCAAAAAGAATCGCACTCTAAAAGAAGCCAGCAGCGTACATTCCCTTAGCCATTTCCGTGGGGCTTTTTTGCTGTTGCAGCAACACTAGCTCTACACCTGCAGCATGCAGTGCTGGCTACAGTAACGAGATACCATTTGCGGAACGCAAACAACAGTTTGTAATCATTGTTACCACAATCTTCTCTTTTGAAGTTAACTGCGGAGTCGCTCTAGGTTCACCCGTCTTCGGCACCAACTGCAACGGTAGCACGAGCAGCAGAACGGCACTGGAGGGCCCCTGTCGTCAGCGTAGTTGAAACTTCGGCTTTTGACAGCTTGCTGAGATGTCGTTTCCATTTTATGCGGAGTTCGGGGTGCGCTACCCTAAGTACATTCCACCAAAAGACCCGAGCGAGCGCCTCGTCGACCCCAAGAAAAAGCTTGCCCCTGCGTGCACCACCAAGTGCAGCCGATGGGTCCACGAATACGCTGTACGTGCAAACTACTTGCCTGGATGCTGCTTGAGTTTTCTGGCGATAAGAGATTGACACAGTTTCTAATGGGGTTTCCGGTTATCCATCCCGTGACACTATTCATATGCACATGACTGTCGCGTACCTCGCTGCATCGCTAAATTTTTTTCTGCTGAAAGAAAGACGACGTCTGCTTAGACTGAGTGGCCTTCGGCGACCAGCTCATTTTAAGACTCCTTGTTCACTTGGGGCTGTCCTATTCGGACGTTTATCAACACGGCAGGCATGTAGGGCAGGTCAACGGAAGTATTTGGAGTGCATTTTGATGGGAATTTGCTGCAATTAATTCCACCATCTTTCACGTATCTCTTGATCATGCAGATTGCTCAAAGGGATGCTGTCGTGTGCCCTCCATAACTGGTTGCGGCCTTTGAGCGTCTTTGTTTTTCTTTCTATTTACGAACGACATGACGGGTTTGTTTTTTCCAGCTTTATGCTCTCTAATGGGTTCGTAGGCATGCTGCGACCGTGTGAAGGCTCGTACTGACGGACGGGGAAACTGCTCGGGTCAGTTTGAGGAGCTGCAGGCCTGCGTGGACACATGTGTAAGCATTGCCCTACCTAGTTCCCTATATTCAGTAGAGCCCCGCATGTCTATGTGCTGTCTCAGCCAACCGAAGGTAGCCCTTAACACCTTTTCTGCAGGCATAACTCTCTGTCTTCGTTCTGTGGTCATCTCTCAAATATGTCTATAAAATGTATTAAGTTCGCCTGCCCGGTTTGCTCGCGCGAAGGCGAGCACACAACCCCGTTTGAACGGAAGTGCCGTTGAATATTCGATGCGTTTCCAGGTGGCAAAGGATCTCTTCAAGTACTTGAAGTGAGCCCGAACGATGTCATCACCTGCCTCACGCCCCCAGGCCTTGATGTGGTTTGGTACTCTCGTCCTGTGAGGCGTTGGAGCTACAAAAGGGTTCTACTTTCATATATCCATCTCCCGGCAGCGCTAGAACTCAGGGGAACATGAGAACCCCCGAGCGCCCTTCAACTGTGCAGTCATGGCAAACTGTAAACGGCGGGGTAAGCTTCGCCACCGTGATGAGACCGTAGGCAGCCACGGTCGGAACCGCCTAAGAAGCCCATACCAAGCTTTCCTAGAGTTGAAGAACTCATTCCGAGACATGCCACCGCTGTCTTAGAAGGACCATGAAATTTTCTGTGTAAGCTATTTGGGTTGTTTCCATTCCTATGCGTGGCTTCCCTTGTAACTTACAAATTCGCGTGTGGACAGTTTGCACTTAATTAACAAGTGGCAAGCATGATATCCGACGTGAATTAACCTCGCCGTGGGGCTAGAACAATCTTAGCCGGAGACCACACCCTACATAATTAGAGGCCTAGGTGCTGCCGCTGCCAGCAGTATCACGGGGGAGGGTAGATAGAATAAATGTGATCAGTGAACGACTCTACTCTGAAAATGGCCTAGGGTAGCTTGCAACTAAGGTGTATAAAGCAGAATTGATCTGTGAAGGACCCTAATCTCAGAGTGACTTAGGATAGCTTGCAACTTCACCTCGACGCCTATAGATGTAACACTTTTATGGCACGCTTAAAGGTTAAAGGGGTTGATGCAAATTGGCTCCCCTTACGGCTCCCTGGGGAACCGACGTAGGAGCTGTTTTAGCCGTTACAGCAGCAGTAAACACACGCAGTGCACCCGAGGTACACCCTGTCCCACTGAAGCAGTGTGGATGTCAGCACAGAGAATGGGGAGTTGCGTCTTCAATGTGGGTTGGCAACGCACAAAGCATGTCCCCACAACCTACCCTGTTCTCAACGAGTCCAACGCACTCAAATGGAACTGCCTAGGTTGCGACGAAGATACTCCTGGCACTGGCTGCCATGAGAGCCTGCGAAACCCCATACATCACGGCCAACTCCACACTGCACAGTGGCTGATGTTGGGCGCTACGCTCCCATCGCAGAAGCTGTGAAGCTGCAAGACGCTGCCCCCCTCTACCTGAATGCCTTATCGACTAAGCACGGAAGGGTCGACTGAGGACCCCGTCGAGCCCCTTAACTAAGAGACAGCCGACACACTAGAGCTTCTTGTCACTGGCTTCCATCTTTGGAATCGACTGAAAGAGTTCATGGAAGGTCTGGTTGGCCATCTTGATGTATGGAGAAACAATTGGATATATTGTGTCGTGAAACAAGGAAGAACAGCTGCTGTACAGGAACCAACCCCATGTCGCAACGAAAAAGAGGCTGGCGAAAGACAGGAAGGAAGACACGTATCCGAGAGTCAGCAGAGCGCAGCAGACCTTGGTGGTGAAGAAGACGTTCCTCCACAGGCAAACATCACGACAAAACTCCAAGAACTGATTAGTCCTGTCGTACAGCCGTCCCACAGCAGACTCGATGCCGGAGCGACTGACAATTTCCCAAGGCCCTTCCTCCAGGGGGGTGAGGTGCAGCGCCTTAAGCAGCAACCCCAGCATCACTGGAGCAAGACACAAGTAGCAGCATAGCGACACCATGCTCTTTCCCATGGCGAAGACGAGGAAGTAAAAGAGGTTCACGGAGACAAACAGCGCTAGGCTGTTTGCCCGCGAGTCCAGTCCCAGCGCGCGGGACACAAAGCAGCCACCGCAGTCCTGTGAACCCCCCATTTTCGAAGTTTACCGAAAAACAGATGTAGCAGGGAATGCGGGCAAGCAACAGCGCAGCCGCGGTTCACTGACACCACAATTTGGACGGCGCGCAGGTCCCCCACGTGATACACAGCAGTACAGGGGAACACTACACACCTATTTCTGTTGTAAATAATTTACTCCTCGTGTATAAACCGCGAATCCACATAAAGTGCTGCCAGGCGAAACCTGTGGAAAGCAGCAACGCGCCACCCCACGCGAAGACGAAGCTCCGCGGCTGCAAGGACACCCAAGGACGAGTAATGCGGAAAAATATGGGCGCTTTGATGCACTTTGTGAGCAAAATTAACGAAACCCACCGAAGTTAGAAGGTGCCATCGACATCCTGAACCCTCCTTCGTCCCAGCGGCCTGCACAACGCACAGAAGCGCGCCTCGCGCTGCTCTGCTCAAGGGCCCCCAAGTATGGCGGGCACTATACAGTCTCTGCAGGACACTAGGGCTAAATATGTTCGTATAATGACTCAAACATGTTTGCATGAACCCCCTGTGGTAACGGTGTCATAAGATCGGTGGTGGTGTAGACTGTCTCACCGGGCAAGAGCAACGTTGCTACGCATACAGGGATCCATAAAGCTGTAGCGTTTGTTGCAAGTCTTACTAATTTATTCATTATTTCGTTTTTATAGCAACAGGAAAGCTCCACCGGGCTATGCGTGGATAAGTTTTATCTGCTCCTTCACCGAAATGCCTGTCTCGCCGCTGGTGTAGCATGGTCTGTCTAAAGTTTGTATTTCTACATGTACGCAGGCTCGCAACTAGGGGCCAAGGAAGTGTTAAGCGATTGCCAACAATGTTGGTACAATGTTCATATTGGGTTTTAGATATATATGTGTGTGCCCAGTGCTCTCGAACTTCCCGAGGGGTGTTACGCGGTTCCGAGATCTTAGCCGGCGAATACTGTGGGCTGGAATGGTAAAATAAACATGAGCGTTCCTTAACTGGAGGTAACATCGCCCCTCAGTCTCCAGGTGTCGTTTGCTCAGAGGCTGACTCAAGCGCCTGGTGCTGCTTCACAGGGGTCGGCTTGCCAGGAGTAGCAACGCACCTTGCTGCACAGAAGGTGCAATACTGCCCCAAATACGAACCAAAACAGGCCTGGTCAGCACTATGCACAGACGCTTTAGACACACGTTTGGAACTGTGGCCTGCGTACTGTTCGTCTAGTAGGGCCAGGTTCATGTGCCCAGTTCAGACAGACTTGCCAGTTCCGCACAGACAACGGCCTCCATCTGCACCAGGTAAGTGCATACACTACCACAGTATGGAATTGCTAGACTTATTTGTCGTTACTAACAAGTTCCCCTAACTCCTGGCCTTTCAATAGGCGGTGCTCATCTAAGAAGTGGCGAACTAAACTACAAGAAGAGAAGCGCTATTGTATTGGGAAATTGAAATTACCTCCAGCCTCCCTTGAAAGGCAAAAATTAAGACACCTCCTCTTAAGTTAAACGATATCCTAATGGAAAGGAAGGGAAAGTGATACCTTGTTTGGAGTTGTACTATCGTGTGCTGTAACCGTCCGGTCACGGCCAACAATGCCTATTTTCCTTCTCAACATTTCCTACCAGCCATTAATTGTATTGACGGCTTGCAGGGATTTGAGCAGCTACTTCCTGTACTGCAGTATTGTTTGACAGAGTATCCCGTACGAAATAACGGCGTGGGGATGAAACACACCGATGCATTCCTACCGGAAAAGCATTCCCTGATGCAACAGTGAGTGTGCACCCTGCCCCGCCATTGGAGCCGTGAATTCTCTCTAGGCTTCTGTGGTCAGTGGGACTCAAGTTTCCTTGATAAGAACACCCTCACCTGCCACATGACACGCCACCACTTCGATTCTGGCTGCAAGATGGAAGCACCAACCTGTTGGCTCCTCGTGCTTTTACTGTTCCCTACCATCCACTCATTCAACACGCGACTAGGGTACTCTAGATACTGTGGAATGCAGACTCCCTCCCTAACGGAAACATGCAACCCAATATATCACTGCCTTCAACTTCTCCCAAAGTCTTTGAAAATTTCGTTTTAGCGGGTCCGCTCGTCTGGACGACGAGCCTGCCGGCAACGACTGCACGAAAAGTATCCAAAAATGTCACTCATAAATACAGAGGACAGGTGACATTCATTGGGGCCCGTTTAAGATAGTAAAACCTTCTTGGGAGTCATTCAATGAACTTCGCGGGTTGGAGCCCCCACAGTCTCAATGCCATTCTCCCCACATAACTCACTGAGCTAAATGTAAAGTTTAGCTCTAGTCCGCACTCCAGAACACTGCCAACAAAAGCTTCCTCGGGCCCCACAAGGGCGCCATCTCACACCTGCCTCCCAGACATCTGCATTCCCGCATTTTCAATCTACGTTCCATACCGGCAATTTCCTCCTGCCTGATTGCCGTGCATTTAGTACGCTAACACTGATGCCAAACCTGTGGACGTCCCGACGGGCCCCGAAGCTTATGCGGCGTACTACTAAAAAGCGCACGGGGAGCGAGGGGGAAGCAAAGGGAAATGCTAAAGCACGCTCCTGGTGACTGCACACTGCTACCCTATCATCTGCAAAGGCGTAGGCCAGCCGATATAAGACAATCTACACCAAACAACCAATCTACTGGAACTACTCCCTAATAACAAACAACGCCAGATGTACACGATGCTCCTTCAACCTCCTCTGGTGGCTGCTCTCGGTGCTACTATAACTGTTCTTGATGGCCGACGCCCGCTGATCCCAGCATCAGCTGTTAAGCGAAGGCGACGGGAGCAGCAGCGAAAATCTGGGAGGCTGCAACAGCAAATCACCTAGCAACAGCAATGAAGCCAGCAGCAACAGCAAGAGCATCAAGTCAGCCCATGCAATAAGAAACTCCGTCCTGTTAGCCGGCGAACCAAGCCAATAAGTCCAGAATGGAGTAGCCTGGGGCCGACCAGATCTCCTGGTAGTAGAAACGTCTTCAGTATTCCGCGCAGCAGACACCTCATCTCTGCCACTGCTGTTGTTTGGGATGATGCCGCCACTGTTGTTGCCGTCGCTGTTGTTGGAAGACGGTTCTCGAGGAACAGTGCCAACAACCGACGGGCTCTCAACCTGAAGAAGCAGCGATGAGCACCATAGCTTGCGTCAGCTTCCGGAATATCCTACCTTTCCAGAGGCCATGCACTCTTCGCTGGCAAGCAGACAGATATTCAGGTATGCATTATTCACAATTTTCTGCTATGTGCTCCACCCAACTCCTGCCTGAAGTTGTCTGCTGGGGAACAACCGGGTGCCACCAAATACCTGCGAGGTCACCATTCGCCCATGAACAGTACTTGCATTCGTCTGCTGCTGCTTGCTTTGATCTCGCGCAAGAAGTGCCTGAGCCTTCAGCTGTTCAGGTAGTTCCTATGCTCACAAATCACAAGCCACCGCGCGTTGCTCTCTATCCATTCCTCAGCTCTCCCACTAAGTTTGGTCGTTCAACTGGGTACACTGGCCTTAACCGGCAAATGTCGGGATCCCTTTCCCCCGCCACTCCTCTATGCTATTCGCTCACTGGTAGAGTGTTCGTAGGTGCCGCGCAACCCTCTTCAACAAGTTGCTTGTTGGGTCTCTTGCAAACTGGACACACCCAAGAGGCGCTCTCAAGCGCCATCTGCCTCCGGTCCTGAAGGAAACGACACACGAAAAATAAGGCACCCCAAAACCTTAAACAGTCATCGAAAGCTGTGATGCAGAGAGCGAAGCGTTACAAGCACGCGTAAAAAGCCACAATACTGCGTCTAACTGCAACGCTTCCTTGTCTCAGCGGAAGCAGACAGGGGATGACATACGACCACAACAGAAGCCCTCCCACGGGAACGACGAAACAGCAGCACCGCATCCCTTATACGCGTCAGCGCCAGATACACTGTCCACAACGGTGGTACCCAGCACTTCCACAACAACAGTGGCAGTGCTTGCCTCAGGAGCAATGGCACCTACATAGTTCTTCAGCAACAGCAAGGAATTGCAACAACGTACCTTCTCCGAAGCCTCTAAGGCATGCAGAGCCCCCTGAGCTGGTGTGGGGAAAAAAGCACAGAGCGCATCGAGAAGCGTGCGAATGCCCCATGCTGGCTGCCAGAGCTCGGGATGGTGGCTGCTAGCGCTTAAGCATATCTGGGCGCAGCAATAAACAGGCAGTACATGAAAAATAGCTGCAAGCAAACCGGCTCAGCCACGTCTGCTAAAACGCCCTCGAACGGGAAAAAGAGATGAAACAAGCGGCATATAATGGTCCCAAGGAGGAAACAAAGATATGCGAGAAGCTTCCCTTGACTGCCATACTCCGGGCAGTCTTAACGGGAGAATCGATCCGTACATACACGCAAGCAGTAACAATTCCGGCCTCTGCTCAGAAGCTCCTCCAACGAGAAGAAAGGGCAGATAGTAGCCTTACCTTCTTGTTTATGTCGAATCTGCCGTTTCTCGTAAGCAACATCAGAGATGGAGGAGCAAAGGGATAGTTCTTTGGCAACACAATACGCCCATGGTACAGGCCCCCTTCAAAAGGAGAATCTGGCGGTCCCCTCAATGTGAAATGCCACTCTCGCGGTTCCTCAAGCTGAAGAGACGCCAAAAGCACCAGCGCACACACTAGGTGTCTCAATGAGTTTATGAAACAATATGGGAAAGATCCAAACATCCCGACCTCCTCTCCAGCTAGAACCGCCTACGAAGAGTAGAAAGCCCATGGAATACAGCCCCTCCAAAGTATCTGGATACGATGAGTTCATAAAAGTAGGAGCCCAACCGCAGCCTGTACATGCGACTCCCGTGTACACTGCAGGAAACCCACTGAAAGAGGGGCAGCTGTCCAATGGGGCGACGCATTGCGCTGTATGTCTCTGTGTTCCCTCAGAATTCTCGCAAGGCTCTGCGCAGTCGACGCATGCTGCGCTGCTCCAGCTCTGCCCGTATCGTGGGCTACCTCCATCAGCGGATGCACTCTTTACTGGCGCGGGCGCTGTTACTGTTGCAGGTACTGATATATTTTCCGTGCGGTGACGACTGTCCCTGGTTCTTCCTTCACGTCCTTGCTGTCACTCTTTTTGTAGCTACACTGTGGAGCACCGAAGAACACATACAGAAGAGCACAAGAGACCGCCGTAACGCCTACAAAGGGTTTGGTCACAATGCCTCCACTCCCCCGTACCACCAGGCAACGAATGACCTCATATGCGTGCAGCCGTTAAAACTGGTGCACACTGCAGACTTTAAAACAGAGCCTAACAGACCGGAAGCTGCGAAAGTTGTAAATGAGCATAGCAACTTCTACGGCACCGGCCAGTGCTGACATGGGGGATACCAGGGCAGCCCACCAGTTGTTTAACATGGATAGAAACGAGTCATTCCCGTAGAAATAATGATTGTGAAAAAAAGAAGTACTTCACCTCTAAGCACGAAGGCAGACAATGAATCAGCCTTGGAGATGTGTCCTGCCTCGCTGAACAGCTACTGCACCGGGACCACCACGCAAACAATATCTTTTGGCTTCCATGCACTGCCACATAAACAATTTCGGTACTTCAACTTCTTCATATGCCACTATTCCACACGCATGACAAACAGGTGCTCGGCGATCACCACCGACTCTAGCGAGGGAAGCGTAATGCAGTGGCTGCTCGTCCGCTTTTCAGTCACTCCAGGCCCCCAAGGCATTAGGGCTGTGGGTGGAACTGCATTCCTTTCTCGAAGCTGAGCACTCAAACACGTCTGTAAAATAGCTATACAGCATCATAGTTTAAAGCGTTATTTATTCCAGCGCACGCTTGTGGGCGGAAACTGCGCGCATATGCCGCACAAGCCATCTGCCGGTAATTGTGTATCTGTAACGTGGGTAGTGGATCTCATCCGACTATTATTGTGAGAGTTCCTTAAATGCACCTGACAGCCATCCCCAGTCTCCAGGCGTCCGGAGTTCAAAAGCTGCAGCGCCTGGCTCTGCGGGAGCACAGGCGGCCTGCCAGGAGTTGCAATGCACGTTGCTGCAACTCTATGCAAAAACGACCCCACACTCAAAGACAAACTAGGCCTATTGGCTGTATTTACTGATATAGGTGTATGTACGGAGACAGGTGAGAGCTGCAGATGGTTTCTGGCTGCTGACTACTTGTCTACCAGACCCAGGTTTCTGAAACTTCAGTAAAGAGTTGCCACCGTCCTACATGACTATCCTACACTTGCACCCCTACTGGTACGAGCAGGACATGCCATCGTCTGCCTGTTTTTGCCTCTGAAAATATATTGACGTAAGCTACATCTTCGTTTGCACACCTTCGGTGATCTACGGTTCCTGCGGCTCCTTCAGCTTCATGGCCGCACAGCACCGCCCCGAGCGTCTATCAAGCAACAATTGTTTGGTAAGGCTGCTGAAGCGTTTGGTGTTGCAACAGCTCTGCAGAGGACCAGTTTGGGATGCGCAAAACATATCGAGCCCCGCTGCTCTCTGGCCTTTGCTACTGCTGGCGTTGCTTGCAGTGCTTTCCTCTTCGGTTTTTCCGTGAACCGAAGACAGAACTTAGTTACACCCTGCCAGATGGAAGTGAATGCCTCACTGACTCTGGGCAGAGCACCGAGGCTGTCCACGCACGGGGGGATGCTTTACGCAGGATTGCAAAAAGGTTCGCCGTAGAGCGAGAACGGAAACTGGACCACAGCGAAAAGGTAGCATCTAGCACATCATAGAGCACATAATGCAAATTTTCGGGGGCTCCTAAGTTGTGGAGCGGCAAAGATTACAGAATAGTTAGATGTCTTCTAGTCTTAGCTGCAAGCTCATGGCGGTGCTTGCAGTACTTGATAGGGAAGCGACGATAGCCTATGCATGTCAAAGCTTGGCCCGAACGATACCAAGGAATCCATTCAGCGTACTGTTCTAGTGGCCATATAACGTAGTATTCCCGATGTTTTCGTCCTATGGGAGTTGTTGCACGAGCATTTTGGATATCAATCTCGGCCAGTTGTGCTTTCCCACCACGACGTTGCTGACCCGTACTCGGTAAAGGTCCAGGATATTTTGCTGATTTTTTGCAACATCTTAAAAGCACTAATCGTACGATATCTCCAAGTCGAGGGTATGTCAACGGTACACAAACCCCAATGCGAACCGACCTACTTCGAAAGTTCTCCCCATCGCTCGGTTCGAAAGGCGTGCAAATCCACCAAAACAAAGTTGCCTGGGGTGTAACCGCTGAATTTCATTTGCCATAGTTTTAAAACCGTCATTTCTATGATTTTTTTTTGCATTCCCGTGCTGTTGCGAGCTGCGTCGGCAAATCTGGAGCTGTGGACGCGGGTGGCATATGCATACCCTCCAACCTGGGAATGCTAACAAGGAAAAGAAGTTCTCCGCCTGTCATCGGGATGGACAAAACGTATAGGAACGCATCATGGTCATGGCATCCTTGGCGCATTGATACAAATGTTGTGGGACAGTGCAGAGAAGAATCGGCTTGTCATGAGTTGCTTCATTCCTTTTTCTGCTGTGAGGGGGCCCCACAAAAAAGCATGCTCCGTGCCGGCTGAAGCGTGAACTATCATAGCAGGCAACTGATAAGCATTTACCTGGCCCTCAATAGCCGGACTGCCGTAGTAGTACCGCTAATGGACGGGCCTACCGTAGAGGGAGCAAGAAGTATCATCTCCCGTATATCGCCACAAAGCACGCGCTCGAGTGCTTGCTCTCCATAACAATGGTAGGTGAACAGATGGGGAGAAAGGAGCTATACAGATGGGCAGCAGATCCTCAGACAGATCAGTATGACAAAACTGAAGAAGAGAGAAGGGCTATCTTCACCTGCTGTTGCAGCTTATTCGTGCTGCTGCTGCCGACACACATATCCTCACGGGTGGTACATAGGGTAAAATGAACACTTGCTTGCCAAGATGGTTTTTCATTTCAGCCTGGTAGTGTGCCCGCATAATAAACTAATAGCAATGAGGGGCAGCCGACTCACAATAGTAGGGGGCACTCGTACTACCGCAACTTTATCCCTGGATCTCTCTCTCTCTCTCTCTCTCTCTCTCTCTCTCTCTATATATATATATATATTAT